GCCAATTGTTTATCTTCTTCCTTTAATTTTATTTTACTGCAAACAGCAAGAGAAATACTGAACACTGTACACAAATGTCAAGAAACTACAGCCAGGAATTTCAGAGGGCTCTGGATAATAGCTTCCCTGGAGAACCCCGACTAAAGGAGTTATGTTTTGTAGTGTAACATTTCATTAAGATCTACTGCATATTTATGTATGGCAAATAACTCACAATCACTTGCTTTCTTCTAGTGAAATGGCTACACACAAATCAACCATTATTTCCTTTATTCATTAGTTTATTCATTAGTTTAACTTGACAGGTATGTTTAATTTTTCCTATGGCTGAATGGCAGAAGCTACAAATATACTCTGCAGAGCTGGCTGTGATGGTTAAAAAAAATTACATTGGAACATTTTAATATTTTGTGTAGCTGAATGCAAAATACCTCTCAATGTAAAGAGCAAGTTCAGCTTTTTCCAAAACCTGAATGTGCAATCAAGATGTTTAATTTTTGTAAAAGTTCTGTAGATTGATGCTAATAGTAGATGCATGCAGAAAAAGTAACAGAATCTTCCAGGAAAAGCCATTTAACAAATAAGGAACTGAAACTAATAGGTACAACAATATTTTACAGTACTTACAGAGCTCTGATCCTCCCCACTGCAGAGGTAATTTAACCACTAGGAAAATAAATGTGTACTGACTTGCAGAGGTGTTAAACGTTACATATGTGCTGATGTATTTCTGTATTTTTAAAAACATAAATCTAAACGCTTCATTTCTCCCTCCACAAGAACCTTTAGGGCTATCAAGGAGGATATTACCCACAATGTGCTAAGTGGCCCCAGGATGCAGGGAGAGCCTCTTGCAGGTGCAAGATAGGAGCTGTGTTATCTCAGGTGAGGCTGAGGAGTGTTCGGACAGAAATGCAATGAGCCTGTATTATCACGACACATGAACCTGTTAACTTCTTTTTTATTTTTCCCTAAGTCCCAGTGCTAAAGAATCTTACAGCCAAAGCCTGTGAGAGATAAAAGGCTGAATATGGATGGAAGTGAATTCCAGTGAATGAAGCACAAGAAACTTCAGGAACCCCAATGGATAAAGCAGTGCCTGTGTGGTTCTGTGTGGCTCTAGCTCTGAGTGATGCTCACACAGGGTGGCTCCCCTTCTGCCCTGCATCCACACTGCACATGGATTCCTGTTTTCCTTTCCTTGGCTGGGAGATGTTTGTAGACTCATTGAAAGGTCTGGGTTGGAAAGCACCATAAGGACTGTCTTGTTCCATGGCAGGGACACCTCCCACCACCCCAGACTGCTCCAAGTCCCATCCAGCCTTGCCTGGAACACCTCCAGGGATCCAGGGGCAGCCACAGCTGCTCTGGCACCTGTGCCAGGGCCTGCCCACCCTCACAGGGAGGAATTTCTGCCTATCATCAAGCTCTGCATATCCCTGCACTGGGATCCTGGCTGCCCTCAGTGAGGTGGGCTGAGCATCTGCAGGAATGGCTCAGCAGAGGAACACTCACTCCCCTGCATGCCAAGATGAGATAGGAGCAGGGGAAACGTGCAGAAACCCAAGAAGCAGCTCTATATATTTTATGATGGAAGGCCATGGCTGACAGCACTGAGTTAGCCCAAAGCTCAATGAGACCCAAACCCATAGACTTTAATTCTTGAAATAAATGTGCTTACTTGGGGCTAGATTCCTGCAAGAAACATTTCCTGTTCTCTGAGTAATAAGTAACAGAAATTGAATACAGGTGTGCTCTGCAGGCTGGCCCTCTCTTGCCCTCTCCTGTTCAGCTCTTAGGGCCACTGAGCAGAGTTCATGCACATTCTCCACAACGTGTTCAAAGTGTCAGTTTATGCCAAATTCCCAAATAAACTCACTACTGGTAATGGGCATTATGTGCTCATGAAACTTTCTAAAAGCTGTATAATTATTTCTACATTTCAGTTAGAAATATACTCACTAATTTATTTGTGAGCACATTCTTTGATTTTTGTACTCAAACAGCAGAAAACACTTCATATGAAAACAATTCACACAAGGAAACTTCCCCCACTTAGGAGTTTGAGAAACTCCAGCCTCTGCTTTGGCTTTGTCTGGTGAAAAACACTGGCCTCCCTGACATTTACAATTCTTTAGCACAGCCCTAATCCAAGCCCATTTTCCTGGGCTCGCTCTTCTGCTAAGAGAATGATAAAAGATAGAAAGCTTTTAGCGTTTAAAAAGAAAGACAGTGAAAAACATCTTGGAACAATGCTTTTTATAACTTTTTTCACCCTCTATCATTTAAAATTTTTTTTTAAATATTTTTTCCCCTGCATCAAGCCAGCTCTGCAGCCCTGGTGCTTGGGGGACATCACCAAAGACTCTCCTTGCTTCACACATGCAGCAGCACCTTCCCCTTTGGAAGAAGATTTTTTAACACAATTTTGCTGCAGCTGGACACAACCTGTGCCTCTGTGTCCCTCCCTGCCATGGCCATGCTGGCACAGGGTAATTCTCACACTGTAATTCATACTGAGCCCTCAGGCTGCCTGTTTCAGAGCTGGAGTCCAAAAGGAATTCATGCCCTGCCTCAGTCCATTGCATCAACTCTGCATTTTGTCCTGAGGGAAGCTTTCCCAGCTGCTGTTAAACAGCATTAATCTGGAGACTTTCCTCTGGTCTAGCACTTGCTATGTCTCTGTTATGGTATCTCCAGAGTTGTTATTTTTGCCATAATATTGGGACACTTTTGGAAGAACCTGGAAGAATCTGAGGCCATGTTAAAGGTCAAGCCATGAAAATAGAGACCATTCCATGCCAGCCTTTCCCTATACAAATTCTAAATATAAAATGGAAAGGGCTGGGGAGTATGTGACAGTTTGTAGCTTTATTTCTTGTGCCCCAAAGCCTCCAAGCTCCCTCACAAACATGCTTTATAAAGTGGAAGAACAGTGAGACAGAGCAATAAATCTGCAAAGTGATAACCACAGAAACAGCCCACCCTGCTGCTGTGCCATCAGCACCTTTGTGTCACAGCCACCAGGCAGGTGCTGGCACCCCAAGGGACACTGAACACCCTGCTCACTGCCATGGTCACTGCTGGCACCCAGAGGGGACAGACCTGGCTGCCAAACACAGGCTGACAATGGGAACCAGCATCTTTGAGCTCACTGCTGAAAGAGCTTTAACTATTGACTTGGTTCAGCTTGCATCACACCTTTACAGCTACTGCTGGAAAAAATTTAATGTATTTCCAGCCCAAGTTGGCTCAAGACTGTGCCATGTTTTTCCCAGCAAGTCACAATCCACTTGTCTGTGTCTGGAAGCACCAGTCCCATGGACCCCCCTGGGCACAGAATTTGTGCATTTCCTGTCAAGAAAGAATGTCTAGATGTGAGTGAACAGTCTGCTTCCCCTGCTATTTATCTAAATAATCAGTATTTGTGGCTCACAACAGCAATCTGTTAGAGCACCAAGCTTTGTGCTCCTGCTGAGCTGGAGGCTGGACTGGATGAGCACTCTAAACCAGAATTATTTTATGACTCTGTGATAACTTCAGTGCTCACAGAAGTCAGAAACTGGAGCTACAGGGAAGTACTTCTGATATTGTGTCTTTTACAGCAAAACAATCAATACTGCCTGACTTGACAGATACAAGATTTTGTTAAAGCTTGAAATCCCAACATTTATACAGGTCCTGTAAACACTGCAGCCCCTTGGTACCAGCCCATGGAGAGGAGAAACCCTGGATCCTTCTGCACTGAGAGTGGGTGCATAAATCAAAACACCTGTTCTGCTTGTGCCAACTTGTCAGAGGTGACCTAAACTCTCAATGCAAACTCTGTTATTTGAAATTAAGTCAGACAACAACAGTGAATTACAGCTGGCAAAGTTGATTTTCTGAAACAAAATACCATCTATTGTTCTTATAGATCACACAATGCAAGTAAAACTCATGAGAACAGGATTAAAGGGATGGATCCCATCAGGATCACGGGGTCCAACTCCTGGCCCTTCTCAGGATGCCCCAGGGATCACATCACATGCCTGAGAGCATTTCATTGGGGCAAGATCGGAAAACAGAACTATGTTGCAAGACTGTTTGTAGAAGAGGTTTTCTTTTCAGATCTCCTTTAGCTGTTCCTTCCACTCAATTTTAAGACATCCACACCATTTATGCAGTGCTTCCAATATTTAACACAGTGGGGATCAGTTTTCAGCTCCCGCTGTGGTAACAAGTGCTAACCCTAATGAAATGCTCTGAAAAGCTTCTGAGGGTGGCTGTCCCAGGGAATCCTGAGCCTGCTGAGCCTGGGGCTGTTGTTTCCTTGCTCAGCTCACCCCGTGCTAATTCCAGCAAAGCCAAGGGTGGGTTACAGTGTGGGAGTGCACAAAAAGGGGTTTCTGTTGCATAACCTGTGAGAGCCTCCAGTAGCTCTGGAAATTCAGAGCTCAAAATCTTTACACATATTTCAGGCTACCTTACAGCAAAAGGCTAGGACAGACTGGCTTCATTAGCACAAAAACCACAGCCCCGTTTTCTCTCTTAAAAGGCTTTTATAAATGATTTTAATTTTAAATACAAGCTGTCAAAGCCTGTGCAGTTAACTGCTCCCATTACATTTTTCATTTTCTGATATTTGTGCTCAACCACCATGCCTGAGTGCCACAGTTTGTCATTTATTTCTGACAGAAGTGATGGGACAGAAAACTTAAACTAAGCAAAACATTTCAATTCCATCCCCAGACTTGAGCGGTAATTTTCCCATGCACATCTTGCTCTAGGGCAGTCCTGCAGGAAGGGGTGAAGCCTTTGAGTCTGTTCTTTTTCCTCAGCTCAAAACCTCCCCAGGTGTGTTCACAGGCATGAGGACCAAAGCAGCCCTGACAAAAACCTGCAGGGTCCCTTTGGTGCTGCACAGAGCTGGACTCAAGGTACCCAAACTGAGAGTAATAGCCAGATATAACAAGAGGAGAAAGGTTTTCAGCACAAATATTAATGAAGTTGTCACTTACAAGTTCTTCACATCAATGATTCCTCGAAAGGCCTTTCTAGGGATTCCTTTGATCTGGTTTTCGCTCAGGTCTCTGAATAAGAGAACAGAAAAAAAAAAAAAACATTGTGTTAACAAAGAGAACACATTTCTCAAATCTGCATCAGCTAATGGAACATCCACGTGCTTGGAAAAGGAGATGTTGCTGGATTTGTTACACCACACAGTGTTTTCAATTTTCTCTCCTCCAGAGGTCTGTGGAATGAGCTGAAATGACTCTCCAACCAAAATCCCCAGAATTCCTGATACAAATGACAGAACTTCGAGCAAACATCACTCAAATGTGATGGTGATGCTGGCACAATGCCATGGTTCATTGTCAGAGTACCTGCAGCCAAATCTCATGCCCTGGAATCACAACCCCATAGCGTAAATGTAATTTTCTCAGCATGCTTCTATTTGTTTACAGACTGCAAAAATACTTGGCTACCCCTGCTCAGATTACAACTTCTTATTTGAAGTTAATATTCAGGAAAAACATGACAATCATTCTCTTGTGAGCCTTTTAAATTTATACGGAAAAGATCTTAATCTATTGCATTAAAATTCCACTGCATTATGTATCAATGGGAAAAACTGAATTTGTAACCTTGTTTAAAAACCACCAACAAAAAACTAAACAACCAACAGCAATTCAAAAAGTCTTTCTAGTACTTAAAGCACGTTAAAAATGGTTAGATCTGCATTGTGAGTGCAGGTAACATTTTCCTGATTCCCAGCCTGCATTTGAGAGCTTTTCCCCTTGATGAACTATAAATAGTTCCAGGTTCACAGCCCTCCAGCAGTGCAGTGGAGGTGGAAGGAGAGCACCAGGAATGGGTGGGAAATGGACATGAAAGCAGAAAGCTGGGATGTTTTCATGCTGAGGAAAAGCAGCATTTACCCTGATTTTCCTGTGGGTGCCCCATCAGCACAGAGAAGGGGGAGAGGTTTCAGTCTGGTTTAAAGGACAAAGGGTGGGGAAGACAAGAAGGGAGGAAGAAAAAAGGAAGGCAGAGAAATGGGAAAGAAAAATTTAAGAAAGAAGCAAATGGAGGAAAGGGAAGGCTCAGTGATGACAAAGGGACAAATAAAAGTGATCCTGCAGAACTGCACAGGGCATTGTTTGGGCGAGAGCATCCCCAGGGCTCTGCCCCATTTTCAGACAGAAACTCTGGCTCTGTGATGATGATTAGGAGGGGCTGGCAGCCCTCTGTACTCACCCCAGCCACCCTCTTCTGTAAGTACATTTACTGTTCAGCAAGCTCCTTTCTAGCCTCCACCAAATTGGTTTTATCACATGAGGGGCCAGAAATCAGAGCCTGTCACAAAAGCCCACATTGACACTGCAGGTCAAGACGTGTCACACGGGCCTTTCTTCTGCTTTCCATCAGGCAGATAAGGAAAAAAGGGGACTATGTCCTTGTCACGAGACTAATTCAATTTCTACCAGTCATGCAGTCTACACCAAATTCTCAAAGTAGCCACAATTGTCCATTCAGAGGAGCGCAAACAAAAATGTGCTGCTGGGTACAAGTCACTTTTTCAAGTCAGATTAAAATTCTTTGAGACCTTCACAATTTGTTTAACACTGATCCACACTCTGACCCTGCCTTCACCTTCCCTTTATTTCACCAGCAACAAAATATTAGTTCTTTAAAGACAGGCCTTCAACCCAGACAAATGATCAGGGAGCTGGGACAGAGAAGAGACAAAGTACAGGGTATTTCAGACCCAGAAGGAGGAAGTTTTAAGCTGTCACTTTGGTGTGACACTGAGGCACAGCAGAGCTGTGGCAAAAGTGTGACAAAATGGCTTAGCAAGGCAAAAATTAGTTAAGATCTGAAAGGAAGACACACACAAAGCAGAACAAAAAGGGCTTGGAAAAGTGGAATTGTGTGGTCAAATAAAACCACACTTAATCCACCATCTCAAGTTGCATTTGTCTGGTATTTTATTGTGCATTTCCAGTCATGTGTAAAAGTAAATCAGGTTTTCAAGTGATATTTCATAGCATTGTTGTGTTCTGCAAGGGCTAATTTATATATTTGATCTCTGCTTTGTCTTTATGCTCAACTTTTAACCTGCAGCCAGGCAAAACCAGGGGACTGCAGGAAGTTCATCTGTTTTCTATGAAAACCTTCTTGTAAAGTGTATTAATTTTATTCTCTATAAGGCTCTCTTTTCCAGCTAACAAACCTGCCTCTTTCAATCTCCTGCATCATGGACTGATTCCATAAATCTGAGCCTGAGTGGCATTAGTGAGACAGCATGGAAGAAAAGTCACCAATGTTTCTTTTCCTGCCTTCTCACAATTATAACCACCCTATTCTGAGATGGTCAAGAGGAGTGTTTCTCTCTGCTTCCTGACATTTTGCCAGAGTTTTGTTAAGCATTTTTCATAAGCAAGCAAACCTCAACCAGGCTCAGCCCATGCACTTCACAAAATTCGCTCTGTGGTAGCAAAAGGCTTTAACAAGAAACTTGTCTGCTGAGTTTATCCTAAAGTTCCAGCTTTTAATTCCGTGCTTCTCATGGCAGACATGATGGGAAGCTTACAGCAATGGTGTGCAAAATAAATATTAGTTATTAATAGTAACTGCTGAAGAGCAGATAAATCAATGTGAGGCCAAAACAAAAACCTGAAAAGCAGATGGAAAAATATGGCAGTATTCAAGAAAAATAAACACTAAAACTAAAAAAAAAAAAAAAAGAAAGAAAAAAGGAAAAAAAAAAGGTGATGATTACTAATAGATGTCCTACTTAGACAGAAGCTTCAAGCCCCCTATTTCTGTAATGGAAGACAAGTCCAGTGCCTGGGGGGATCATGATGTATCCTAAAGGGGAAATCTGAAAAATTCCAGACTTAGGGAATAATAAACTTCCCAAAACCCCAAAAGAGGCAGTGTTAGAGAGCTGAAATCACTTGACCTGAGGACAAACCATAATGTGCCAGTCCATCAGCAGCACCCTCCTTGCAAGAATCCCTCCTGTGCTGGGAGAAAGCACCAACAGAACCAGAACGTGCTCATCTGCCTCCTGGTCAAACAGATGAGCTGAGCTAAGGAAACATTTCCAGATTGAATGGTCCTTGTTTTGATATCAGTTGTTTTGATAAATGCAGCAGGTTCTGTGCAGTTTGACCTGGCACACAGCTTTGCAGCAGGGCACAGAGCACACCCAGCCTGCAGCCAGCCCCAGCTTGGTGCACTGCAGCAGAACCCAGAGAAACTCAGGGGAGAACAGCAGAACAAATTTTAAATACTAAAATATTAAAATTGATTGAGATTGTGAAATAAGTATATTACTTAGTCCTCTGTGCATTAAAAATAATTTTTCCAACTCATCCAACAGCTTCCACAGCAAAAAAAACCCCTGAGGAAACAGCATCCTCATTTCTGAGCTGGGGGAATGGAGCCACAGAGATGTAAAAGAGTTTGGGCTGGCATTTTACACAGGGGAGAGAGGCAGGAGCTGACAGACCCAGCAGCTGTGGCTCACAGCTCATGTTAGCCCAGCCCAGACTCCTGCAAGAGTTGGCACAAGCCAATACCTTTCTTAGATTTTATTTTAATTTAGCTAAAATGTCTTGGACACAGATGAACTCCCTCTGCAAGTCTAATATTGTTTTCTTGATCTTCCAATGTGAATTGTAAGTGCTTCACTGATAAAAGGATTGGAAAGGGAAAAAAAAACCCATCCAAAAGTGCTGACGTTTCCTAAGTGCCTCTGCAGTCTTTGCTGTAGTGCTGGTTTCAGCTTCTGCTCTAAAGCTGCCTATTGCATCCTGAGTGGGAATTCAGCTATCTAACAGAGCAACAGAATACATTAAGACATTTTTATTATTATTATTTTGCCGGTAAGGGAACATAAATCACTAAATTGGAACACACACCCTACGAACATCCACAGAATGAATCTTCATTTGGACTACAGATCTAAAACATTAAAACAACTACTTAAATACAACTTGCAAAATTAAAAAGGTACTGGAAATAACACATATTATATGAAAATCAAAAATTTAGCAGTGATGGCATTATGCTTAGCTTTTCTTCCTTTTCAAACAAAAAAAAAACCAAACCCACCCTTTGAGGATTTACCAGTTATTTTCCCAATCTTTTTTAACACACATTTGCAAATTTAAAATCACTTTTTTTTTTTTACATCTGCCCGAAAAACAGCTTGATTAAGAAGTATTTAATGTGGTTGAACACTAATCTTTAATTATTTCCCGCACTCAAATGGGCTGGAGGATCACCATGCAATGCTATCCAATAAAGAACTCAGCTTGCCTTTAATGTCTAAAGAGTTTAATGCAAAGACTTAGAGAACAAGTCACCCAGAGCAAATTCTGCACAGCCAAACCTGTATCTTCCCCAGCATTTTACTGGATGTTGATTCCAGAGTAAAACTGCAAACTCACAGAATTAATTATTAACACATGGAACCAATGGTTTACTTAAAATGAAGGGAAAATCCAGCCTAACAAACCTGATTCCTTTCTTCAGGAGCATTTCAGTTTATCCACAATTCAATTGCATCTTGGAATAAGTCAGGGGAGCTCACACACAGCTCTCTGAAGCAGCTGGTACAAAACCATAAGACAAACATTGGTTCCTTTGACTGGATATGGGACTTGAGCGCAAAATAAAAATGTTTCCTATCCTCTCTTCTTGCCAGAATAATACTGGAAAGTTACTATTGTTCACCTGCTCTGCAAAACAGGACTAATAAAAGACACTACTCCTGATTTTAAGAAAGGGCCAGCTGCCACCAATGCCAAGAATTTAGCACTGTGCCCAACAGCTCTGCTCTGGCTACAGAACATGCAGCTGAGGGAAATGAGAATTAATTCATCCCTCTTGGTAGCTTGTTTACATTCTTTTACAAATTAGGATTCCTTGGTTTAAAACATTTCAGTCCAATGCACTGATTAAAATTAAATATAATAAAACCTTCCTGAGGTTTTTGTGCACTTTTAAAGTTTAATGACTACTCTTCAATCTAATTTTTCTTTACAACTGGACTAAAACTAAACTGAACTGCTCCACT